TTCAATTATTTACGTCATTTAATTAATGTTTAACTTAATATTATGCTGTAACTGTTTACTTGAAAAAAGTATGATAAGAAGTTGTGATTTGCTTTTGAATTGTAACTAATTGATACTGCTTCAGTTTCTTTTTTTTTCTTTCATTTTTTTAGCAATCTTACCTACAACAATCAAACGGAAGGTAAAGTAGACGTAGACTGTCATCTGAATTTTGGACAAAGCAAGTATAGCTTCCGGTGTCTGATTTCTGGAGAATCTTGAGTCTTGCGTAACCATTCCTGGCTATTGTCTAAAATTTAATTTAAGCATATTAAATTTTTGAAACTTTTCACTTTTTGTTAAGACATAAACTTAAAAAAAATAATAATGACTCAAAAAAGATCGCAAAAATAAATTCATAAATCTTTAAGTTTACCCTTCAAATGTTACAAAAATGTATTGACTATTAATTTTTAAAACTCCAGAATTTGATATATCATTTCTTTCAAAAACTTCTACATGAGAAGAGGAATACACTTCCTGTGGCCTTAAACTCGACATTCAGATATATCGGCGACGTTTTATCAATTAACAATAGATACTTCCATTCATAGGTCAATTCGATATATCCCTGTGAACTTGAAATTAAAGACAACACAGATGTCTGCCAAATCTGTTTCATATTTTGATATCTTACTGACTGTAGAAGATAAGGACCAACTAACAACTAAATTGTATGACAAACGAGATGACTTCAGCTTTTCCATCGTCAACTTTCCTAATTTTGTAGCTTTATTCCGCTATCACCTGCATTTGGTGTTTACGTCTCCCAACTTAGATACTCAAGAGCATGCTCAGAGTACGATCATTTTTTTTAAACCAAGGCAGGCTATTGACAGATAAGATGATGTTATAGGATTTCAACAACCTTGTTTAAAGTCATCATTTCGGAAATTATATGGTCGTTATGATGACCTTGTTAACAAATATAACCTATCATTGGGTCGTATTTTGCTTGACGTGTTTCATACCAATTGTTAGGTCTTTTTAATATACAATTTGCCTACGGAACGTTCAATCGACCTGATCAATGCATAAGGCTTACTGCCAGTGTGACCGGTCAACAGGGGATGCTTACTCCTCCTTGACACCTGATCTCATCTCTCTAATTCCCAGTTGTCCGTGTTTTATGCCCTGTTAGGAGATACGTATTGTTTGTAGATGTTTTGAGACTGATATTCTTCGTTATCTTCTTTTTCATTCCTTTCTCTCTAAAATGAACTTTTTTGTGCATGATACATGTTAATTAAGGTGTATAATATGGATTGAATTAGAGATTGTTAGAACAAAAAAAATGCAATGTACTCCGATTCAAAACAAAAAAGAGGAAAATTTTCATTTTCCTTCTTATATGGAATAACGGTTATATTTTTCTATATTATGTTTATTGCAGTATATTTCTTTATAATAAACAATTTTTTTTTTGAGATTGTTGATTACTAATGTTGAGGTATTCAATCATACTAATAACAATAACACCTCTCAAGAAAAAAAGACTAATCTTAAAATTCATTTTCCCAAAAATAACATATTCAGTGATTTTGATCGTAATAACAATAATATACAATATAAATGCAATAAATAGGATTTTATCTTCATATTTCAAATCAAATTTCCAATATAAAAAATTATATACCTTAAGTCGTAATTTTTTCAGGAAACACATCTCCGTCTTTGAACCACGTTGTTTTTGGTTTAGGATACACGTATATTGAACAGTTAAGGTGGATGTCACTTCCCAAAAACTTGGTAATACTGATACTCTTACTGAGTGGCCATGACTGTGGCTTCTTTCATGTTGGAGCTTTAAAAATACTGTAATCGTTCTTTTTTAAACGGATTCATCATTCCGCGAAAACAATTTCTGTTCATTCCACGGGTAGAAAATTATGCAGATTTCTCACAATGCTATTAGTCGCCCGCGTGGCGCAGTGGTTAGAGCGTCTGCTCTAGAGTCGCGAAGCAAGGAGTTGATCCTTACGTCGTGGGTTCGAATCCCACTGCGGTACGTGGAGACCGGTCCTTCAGATGAGACCGTATAAACCGAGGTCCCTTGTCGCTGTAGGTGCTGGCACGAAAAAGATCCCTCACTGCTCAATGGCCGTAAGTGCCGAGTATAGGTCAGAATTTGTAGCCCTCCACCGGCAAGTGGTGGCGTCTCCATATGAGTGAAAAATTCTTGAGAGGGACGTTAAACAACAATCAACCAACCAACCAACCACATTGCTATTTGAACCTTAGATGTCCTTTAAGTACGCTGGGACAAATTTCTTCGGAGAATTTGTGAACGCGTACATACATGTATAACGTAAATTAAAACCACGCAGAAACCGTTCTTCTACAGTATATTAATAGCAAGAACATAATATTATTAAATTTCAGACGTACTTTATTTTCAATGACAGAACTTTAAATATAAATATTGATTTAAATTTATATTAAACTAGAATTTAAAACAAAATTTAAGTAAATTAAATTTGATTGTTTTAAATAGGTTGGTGTTCACTTTTTATTGTCTTCATATGACAATTTATATGACAAATAAGATGACTTCAAGTTTTCCATCATCAGCTTCCTTTATTTATATAGAAAGATTCTGGTATCACCTGCATATGGGGGTTTACGTCTCCCATCTTATTCGATATTCGAGTAAATGAGTACTGTTAACTTTTAAACCGAGGTAGGCTACTGACTGATAAGTTGATGTTACAGGGATTTCAACAGCATTGTTTAAAGTCGGTATTTCGTTTATTCTTTAGACTTTATAATGACCTTATTAGCAAATATAACCTATCATTGGGTCGTTTTTTGGGCTGACGTATTCCGTACCAATTGTTAGAATTTTTGACTACGGAACGTTTCGTCTACCTGATCATAGGGCTCACGGCGGGTGTGACCGGTCGACGGGGGATACTTGCTCCTTCTGGGCACCTAATCCACCTCTGGGATTTTTAGCGGTCCGTATTTTATGCCCTGATCACAAATATGAATTGTTTGTAGATTTTTTGTTAGATCGATCACTGTTTGTTTTCATGTAATGAGAATTTTTATAGAAACATTTGAATGGGAACTGCTGGATATTCTTGTAAATTGAGATTTGACTTGTAAGGTAGTTCCATTAGTCATTACCCTGTACTTCAAGTACTGCATTGTCTGAAACAGGGAGGAGTGACTAAATTGGTTTGAATACTATCTAGGAGGTTTCTTGACTAGAAATGGATAACTCGGAGACAATTAGCAGAAACATTTAGGTAAGATCTTAATTCATAGCTAACTTCAATGTGTGAAGTAAGGCTTAAGTAAAATTAAAAACATAAACAAATATAGTCGCACTTAAAAGCCTGGATTGACTTTAATACGACCACTTGTACAAACCTTAAAGTAAATAAAATTCTAGCATTATATCTCTCAAAACCTTTTTGAGCACATGACTGTTTGCTTAAATTGCACCAAATTTTACTGGAAGTTATTGTTGACAAAGTATAGGCAGATATATATTAAGATCAATCTCAAAGCTATATTCATCGTGCATACAAGGCAAATAAATCCGAATTACAGAACAAAAACGGTAAGTTGAATTATAAAAAATACAATTTAATTTTTTCAATCAATGTTAAAACAAACAGTCAAAAGTCCTTCTGCATTTTATTTCCCATCTAAAATATTTCAGAATACTTACGCTTGTTTTTGTTTTGACCATCCACTACTGACACAAGACAAGCATTGCCCACCAGTAAAAATATAACCAAACGTTGAAAAGGCGTCATGATATCAAATGATACACTCACGATATATGAAAAGAATGTTTTCCCTTCTTCGTAATGCAAATTTGCTTCGTTTTGACTCTGCGTTCACTATTTAAGATTTTTTAAAAATCTACAAAAAGTTGCATCCTTCTTTCTCGTGCTCTCCATTTGTAATTTGAAATCAGGAAAATTGAAAACAGTCTTGGGCCAAAGTTAATTGACACAAAAAGGAAGCTTTGTCAAAGTCAACTTTTAAAAAACTTGACCAAATGTCAAGAAACACTTCATTTCCAAAGTCCCTAAATTCCCCATCTTCGCTAGCCAAGGGTTTCCGATCCGAAATCTACTCTACAACCCTTGACAGATTTATTCCTATTATACGGGAAATTCAATCGCGCCGCCTATCGCCGTAATTGAGTTAAGTCCCTTGAAGCTCTTTACTATTTGTCCAATGAAAATAGCTGTAACATACGTGAATATGAACGATTTTGTTCCCTTTGTGATCACAAGGAGATTCAAGATGAAATTCATTTTCTCCTTGTATGTCCTCATTTTAGTGTACACAGACTTGAACTTATAAATATTTGTAATAATAAATGTAAAAATTTTCAGTCCCTATTATATGATAATCAATTTCTTTGGTTCATGACTAATGAAGACCCTGAGATCCTAAGATCTCTTGCTAGATTCCTTGATAATCTACCTTAACTGAAAAATTTAAATATATTTGGGGATGTATATACATGTAGGAATGGCAATATATCATCTCTTCTGTTCTTTGATATGCATATATGTATCTTTCCAGCTACTTGACTATATATTATTATTATATTACAATATGTATACTCGTATATATCTCTTGTAGATGCATTTATCAATGATTATACAATTAAGCACTGCTCATTATATTTAAGATCATGTTTGTTCTATCATTTGGATCTTCCTCCTTCTTTGTTTCATGTTTGTAAATCTTTTTTCTCCTCCGGGGGCCCAAATTGGACTAATAAATCTTGTATCTTGTATATGACGTTTGAAACAATATGGCGACCTCCATGGTAGAACAATGCGAGACGATTTGTAATCGATTTAACATAGAATCGTTGACAGAGAAGCAAGTAAAAAGCGTAAGTGCCATTGAAAATGGGAAAGATGTGTTTTTAAGTACAAGAACTGGTAGTGGGAGGTCTCTTAGTTACGAGTGTTTCCCAGTGTTACATCCGGGAAAATGTGTCTTAATCGTCGCCCCATTATTAAGCATAATGAAAGAACAGTGTATAAAACTTGGACTTCTAGGATTTAAAGCAACGTACATTGGAAAAGATTTGTTAGAGACTGATGCAGTGGAACAAGGCTTATTTGATTTTTTGTTCGGTAGCCCGGAGACCTTCATCAATAACGGCAAGTGGAGAGAGATGCTGAAATCAGACATATACCAAAACAAATTACAATTAATAGCTGTCGACGAGGCACATACGGTTACACAGTGGTATGTTAAGTAAATCAAACCTTAAATTTAATATAAATTAAAACATGTACTGAGAAAAGAGCCAAACAAATTAATTTAAGTAATTAATCAATAAGTTAAAGTATCCCTAATTGAAAAAACAAATTGTTTGTTCATGCTAAAGGGAAAAATGTATTTTTAAAAGGAATAATTGAGCATTTCTTTTTAGGGGAGAAGGTGACAAAGATGACAAACCTTTTAGAGAGGCATTTTCCAATATAGGGGAATTGAGGTCACTCTGCCCTAAAGCATCTTTGATTGCTTTAACTGCAACATCAGGACCAAGTCAGCGTAGGAGAATTATAAAAATGTTATGTTTTCGGACCAATGTCGAAGTAATATTAGATTCGCCAGATCGTGAAAATATTAAAATAACATCTATGTGTATTCCCAATTCTGACAATTTAGAAAAAGTGTTTAAGTGGTTGATCGATACTTTAAGGACCCAAAAGGCACAAACTGAAAGGCATATTATTTTTTGTGAAAGTATCTCAGATGTCTCCAAAATTTACACAACATTTGTCAAACATTTTGGCAATGACTGTCAACTTTTTGAAATGTTTCACAGCAAGACTGATGAAAAAGTAAAAGAAATAATATCTGAGGATATGAACAAGAATGGCAATATCCGAATTTTGATCTGCACAAATGCAGCAGGTATGGGGGTTAATTTCTACAATGCGTACCATATTGTCCATTACAAATTACCTAGAAAATTAGATACATTTGTACAGCAGATGGGGAGGGCGGGAAGGGACGGAAAGTTGTCGGATGAATTGATTCTGTATAAAACTAATAAAAATCAACTTTAAAAAATGGAAAGTGAGCTAATTCGATTAGCTAAAGATAATAAATGTAGACATGAAATCCTTTGTGAAGCATATATTTTACATAACAAGAAAATATTACCACTTCATGACTGTTGTGATGTATGTGAAAAAACATGCAAGTGCAAAAGTGATCCATGTCCTCGGACACATGAATGTTTAAAAATAGATAATGAAGACAGTGGATCATCTGAAGATGAAGATGAGATGAAGAGATTTGTAAGTGACAGAGAAAAAGAAATCATTCATGATAAGTTACTATTTTATAAATCACAAATGTCCAATACTGATTGTATCATAGATTTTGAAGTATTAAATGGGCTAACAAATGAAGTTGTTAAAAAGATTGTGGAAAATTGCAACTCAGTTTTTTACACCTGATGATGTAATGAGAAAATTCCCCATTTGGTGTACAGATACTGCTACTGATATCTGTGAAATTATCTCTGATGTTGGTGGTGATTCTGATATGTATAATTTTGCTCAGGACACTGAGGAGTCAGACTGATTTTTTGAAATAAATATATATAAGAATACCAAACTTTATTTATCTTGCATCTTGTTTATTTAACCTTTAACATATTTAAGGGAAAAATATCATTAAAGTGTTGCCACAGTATGGAAGATTCATACATCTAAATTTCTGACCATAACAGCATAAAGTCGTTTTAGACAAATCAGAATTTGCATAAAATTTTATGGATGACAGAAAAAAAACATAAAATTTAAAATATTTAAAATTGTTTCCTATTCTCGTTCTTAATTTTTTATTTCAATACTTAGTTTAGAATAAATATTGATTTAATGAATAATCGAAAAATGAATTAAGTCTAAAAGTGCTCCAAGTCCTGGATCTATTTCAAAGGTTATTTGTCTTTTTTGTCTATGTCACTGTAAGGATGAAACACACACACACCACTTGAAATATGCCATTCAATTTTCCCTCTGTTAAAATACGTCAAACCAGAAGTCTCTGATGAGACCTGAAGCATACTTTTGTGTACCTGGTGAATCTAAGAATAAAGATGTTCTATTGTTTCTTCTTCCGAGTGACAAAAATTGCAGTACTTAGAGTCATTTTTTTTTTTTTAATTTTGAACTAAAATGAATTTGTCGCTAAAATTCTGTTTGTAATTCTATACTAAAACCAATGGAGTTTGCAGTTTTTTGTCACTTTGAAGGGTATTTTGTGAAATTTTCAAATAGTCATGAAAATGAAAACGGATAAATGACTCTTAAATCTCACCGTATGTTTTAACTTATGTAAAGTTTAACGTATGAGATTGATAAAGTGATAAAGTACATTTTTTATTTGTGATCTCATTGAAATTAGTAATAAAATGACTATTTTCCTGCTTTTAATCTTTAAACACGTGCCCCCCCCCCCTCCCCCGTGAGACAACAAAACCTTTGGAATGAATAAAAACTGGAAGAAAAAAAATCTGTTGTTTCGCGGGGGAAGATGTTTTGAAAATAAATTTCCATTTTCCGTTAATTTCTATAGTGAAATATTTTTTTCAGATTAAAGATTTATATTTCTTTATTTTCCCAAATAAGTTATGTTTTACATATATGTATTTAGAGGGGGGTAGTTGGGAGGGGGGTCCGGACCCCCCTGGAATTTGTAGTTATTTAATGTATAGACCTATACTAAACCAACTAAAAGTGACCTTGGAACCCCCCCCCCCCTCCTAGAAAACGCGGATCCGTGTTAAGTTGATATGAAAAGTCATAGATATGAAGCATAAGATGTCAATCCCCCCCCCCCCCCGAAATAGGTTTTTCACGTTTAGGAAAGGAGTTTACGTTTTTGTTTTTTGTTGTTTTTTTTAATTGGTCAAGAAATTTCTGGGTTGGATTTTTTTTACTGGGATGGGCCCCTCCTGTAAAAAAAATCCTGGATCCGCGCCTGGTTTTATGAAAATTCATATAAATATCAATATAAATATGAAAATTTATTCAAATATGTGTGGCAGATGGCGGTAAGCAGTGAACAGTTGGCATTAAGCAGTGAGCAGTTGGCAGTGAGCAGTTGGCAGTAAACATTGAACAGTTGGCAGTAAGCAGTGAACAGTTGGCATTAAGCAGTGAGCAGTTGGCAGTAAGCAGTGAGCAGTTGGCAGTAAGCAGTTGGCTGTCGTATATGGAATTCCATAATAAATAAATGAATAAATACATTAAATAATAATCTGAAATGTGTAAGTTAATTGAACACTCTTAAATAAGAAATAAAATATCTTAACATGAAACACTGATTATAAATAAATAAGTTAATTGAATACTCTTAAATAAGAAATAAAATATATTAACATGTAAGAACACTCTGATTATGAATAAATACTCCATGTCAAGAGGATATATTTTTTTCAAATTAAACATTTTTTCCCCAAATATAGCCAATAAAATTAAAAATAATCAAGATCAACCTCTGTACAAGAAGTTTATATTGTAGAATTCCTCTTTATGAAATAAATCAAATAACAAGATAGGTAAAGCATCTGGGGTCCCTAAGACACAAATCATTAAATCTGATATCCTAAAATTTAATCTGTGATCATTTAGACCTAAAATGCGATCAAATGAATGTATCGTAAATCGATAAGTTCACACTGAGAGAACTAAACTGAAAACCTTTGATTCCTGTATTACATGGTTCATGTATCTTGATTTAATACACAAATGAAACTCAAGAAACCAACAAAATTAAATACCTTTTAAAACCATAAACAGCAACAAACTGAACTTTTTAGCTATTACCAAACAAAGATACATCATACGATGCAACCCTTCTGGTCTGTGAATAACACCTGCCAGTTGATCCAGGGATTTATCAGTACCCTCTCAGGGGCCGAAATTCGGCCCCATTCCCAATTGAAAATAAGTTCAATTTTTCCCAATTTGGCAGTATTTTTTCCCAATTGGTGAACAATGCTTTTATATTTAATTAACACAAAGTAAAATTGTCAGATTATCTGTAATTTTCCTCTGTTTAACTCATTTAGCAAACCTGCAGCCATAACATGTTTTAAAAAACACTGTAAAACATCGCCGACTTTTACTCCGAATTTCCTCTGTTTTTCTGAAAATGGAGATATTGTGTTATTATGTAGATTTATTAAGTTATTTCAACCTACTCAATTGATCTATGAGTGAATGGTAAGAACTGTAGGCATTATTTCAGATAGAAAAATATATTTTCAATGGATTTTTACAAATTAAAATGGAACTTAGTATAATTTTTAAATTGCAGGAGGTTTATAACCTCCAGAAACAGATAAATTCTTAAATGACCTAAATTGGAATCTCATTTACACATGTACTACCTTAAGTTATATAAATACTTTATACTCAATGAAGCCATATTTAGTGTTATTTAAGTCTATTATTCTGATAATTGATCTTGTATGATGAAGTTGGATTATTAATTTGTCTGTTTGGTTGCCCAAATTAGAGTTCATGCTGAAATGTTAAATGAATTACATTGAATTACATATGAATACATGATGTAAGCAAGATTTTTTATTTTTCCCAATTTCATCAAATAGCCGATAATTTTTTCCCAATTCCCCCCAAAAAATGGCGTTTCCCAAAATAGGCTGATAAATCCCTGTGATCAAACTCGGACCTGCCATTCAGCATTGCTAATTGAGCACTATAAGCTCTTTCATTTGTTAAGACATCTCCACCAAACACTTTCTTCTTAATTACCTTTGGATTCTCGTCAGAAGTGTGGGCAATATACTTCATGTGGATGTGTTCTAGTATTGATATCATGTCCTCACTTTTATTTTCACTTTTGTCCAACAAATCAAGAACCACAAAGTCAGACTTCATGGACATTTCATTCAGATGAGGGTGGTTAATTACCGTTGGTATGAATGGGGCATATTTTTTGAAACACCCTACATACTTAACAATAGTTTTCATCATGTGAAACAAACAGTTCTCTTCTAAAAACTCACAATCTGAACGTGTTGGAATAAATACATCATTGTTTATTTCAGTGATTGATACAGAAGGCAGTTGATTGCTTAAACTGTTGTCAACAATTCGTTTTTGCAGACCTATTAACAGAAACCAATGCAGACTCTTCCTTTCCTTTTCCTTACTCATATTTGAAGGGCTTTTGGTAATATCAAAATTATCCCCAATTATATCTGAGGATTTCGCATCACCCATACCTGAAGTTTCAAGTTCTCTCTTTTCATTGATAACTGTAGAGTTGATGTGTTCATTCTGGTATTCTGCCAGATCCACCTTCTTCTTTGCTGCTGCTGAGGAGGACACACTTAGTCCCAACTTTTGGAACAAGGAAATACACTGCAATAAGAATCAAGTCATAAAATTTTGGCTCAATCTTAATTTTTTTTTTCACAAATACTACAGAATTTTGAAATGAAATGCAACTGGATAATTTAGCAATAACGCAGCATTGAAAGTAATAACATCTCTGTCTCATCTTCTACTATCTATGAATTAAACCTTGCTGTGGATAGAATATGAAAGATGCATGTCCGAACATTCATTCTTGAGTATTCCATCTAATAAAATGCTGACAAATACATTTTTCTATTGAGGCTTGTCTTGATGAGGGCCATAATAAAGTATGCCATAACAAGTAAAACAGTGTATGTATACATACATTAAGCCTGTTCTATATATGTATATATATACATGTATAAATCTATACATTCCATTTAACTAACTAATATTTTTAAGAAAATAAAATGGAGAATATCCATCATCTTGTATCACCAGTTTACCTCATCTGTTGCTCCGCTGTGATCCAAAATTTGCGCAATAATATGATGAAGTGCAGACATGTGCATATTCCTGTTTCTTGCAATTATGGCTGTTGTAACTGCGACTCCAACAGAATCTTTGAGAGTATGCGATAGTGTCTTATGTAACAGAGGAGCATATAACTGCACTTCAAAAAGCAATTTCTCAAATTTGAAACTTGATAAATTGTCACATTCTGTACTCCTTAGACAACAATTGGATTTCTTTGAGGTAAGCTCTGTAATATCTTTTTCAATGTCATGAATAACAAACTTTGCTAGCTCCTCTTTAAGTGAAGAATTGTATGCAAACTTTGCTATGCGTCTTTTGGGTTGTCCCCTGGAAATGGCTTTGATCACTTGTCTAAGTTCAGCATCCTTTACAATTCTACACTTGATCTGTTTTCCAGTGTTGAACAACACCTAAAAATGAAGCAAAGCTGAATCCATACACAAAGTGTTACATAATGATGAACAAAAACCATACAGTTATAACCAACAGAAAACAATTATTTACAATTTTAAGTTACAATCTTTCATTTCAGATCACTTTGCTTGCACTTTTTTCTAAAAATTGATCAGCTTTTATTTGTTGCAAAACTGCATAAACACATGTTAATGTAACTAATGAAAATCAAATAAATAAAAGCATTAATTGTATTTAAACAATATTTTATTCACAGAAGTGAAAGGGATTGGGCAACAGGCTCAGCATATTTGACCCTCTCCCTAATTACACTTCTTAAATGAAAGCATTGATAACTATCATTTAATATACCTAGTTCAGAGTTCAATATATAAAAATAAATAATAATATTAATAATAAAAAGCTGCTGTTAGCTTCAAAGAAGTTTGATGCAGAGCATTGTTTCAAATTCAAGATAAAAATCCAAACAATGCATGAAATCTAATGTTAAATTCAATATTGTTTTTCACTCACATTTTTCTAAAACTACTATTTACTTAAACTTTCTGTTGTACTGGTTAGTGTATTTACCTTAATTTTACTGGGTGTAAACAGTTTTATACATGGTTGTCGAAGTTTCTCTGGAGTCTTTGTCAAACCTGTTAGAATGCATTAAAAATTCCACAATTAGGATACTTAAAAAAAAATAATGTAATGTTTCACGTACTTATAAAGATGTATCTATAGTGGCATAGCAATGAACTTATATCACCTGTACTTTGGTCCTCGGTTTATAAATATTTATACTTTCTAATATGTAAAGAGGGTATTTCTTTACTTATTAGTAGGAAACCTTGATCCAAGTAATGAAGTTAGTATACATTAATCTTGATGAACTTATGACAAGTTGGCAACATATCAAACGGTGCAATATTTTATGAGAAATGTCAAAATTACAAATTTAATTGCACATTACAGCTACATAAGTGCTGAAATAATATAAAGAGTTTGATCTCACCTGGCTTACACCTCTTTACTTTCCGTGGAGTTGGAGAATGTATTAAAGGTCTACTTCTCTTTGATCCATCTTCTTCACTAAATACATCTTTGCTTGTTCCTAACTCTGCAGGGGTAGTGAAACTTGCACTCACATTCACACCTACGCTAGTTAACTCTACATTGTCCAAAGTAAGATTTTCACGCAGAGATTTTATCAACTCAATTCTTTCCTTTCTTAGTTCATCCAACTTGTGTAACAAGTCGTAGTCAATTTTATATAATCTCTTCAACTTAGCATAACAGCGATAACAAACATACTTAGACGAGGAACATACTAAAGACCTGACCTACTAAAGACCTGACTGACCTGACCAACAAAAAAACTCTCCAATAATCAATATTCTGAGTTTTTATATCAATTTTTCATGATAATTTCTTAATCATAAGGTGCAATTCAGTTGAATAAAGGTTTATTCAATCATTTTTACCAAAGAACTATATACGGTATGGGCGTATTCCTGCCCCCATAATAGTCAAATTTTGAAAATCTCTTGAAATGAGAAAAAGTGCATATATTGTATAAAATAATCCAAATTAAGACAATATATTATGAAATTGGAAAAATTAGTTGGCTTTTCTTGTCTCTGTGACGTCACAAACTATTTGGATTTCCGTTATTTTTAAAAAAGAGGCCAAAATGCACAGAGTTTGTTCAATTTTGACTATAGTATTTATAGAGCGCAAGCTTGCTCAGGTACCATATTTACATATTCCATTGATATTATCATTCTACACATTATATCAAAAGATCTAGTCTGAGCAGACTTGCGCTTGATAATTTCCAATCAAAATACCGACGTAAAATACACTATTTTCTCTCAAAATCATTGCAATTTGGAATTTACGTCATTTTATTGACGTCATATCTAACTAATGATATCATAGTTGATAAAAATATTTAATGCTTTGAAGTCTACAAATATCCACCTGGTTTAGAACATTATTAAAGATTTCTCCATCAAAGTTTTATTTTGGGGGCAGATACTGGCCACTACAGAATATAGTCCTTTATTGTCATTTATCAAATCATTTCATGAAAATTTAATGAACTGACCAAATCTGAAATGACCTGACCAAATGATAATCATTCATAATTGTTATCTTTTTAAAAATATTTGATACATTTTTAACATATATTCTCTATTATAGTGATTGATAGTTTAGATAAAATGTTTTTAGAAACATTTATACCAAATATTAAGTCATTTATCCATTCATTTCATGAAAATTTAATGACCTGACCAAATTTGAAATGACCTGACCAAATGATAATCATTCATATTCATAATTGTTATCTTTTTTCAAATTTGTTCTCTATTAAAATAATTCATACTTTAGACAAAATGTTTTAAAAATATTTTTACCAAATATTTAGTCTTTTCCATTTAATTCATGATAATTTAATGACCTGACCAAATGATAATCAAATCTTGATCTATCTTTTAAAAAACATTTGATACATTTTTAAAACATGTAAATTATTAATACTTAGATAAAATGTTTTTAGAAATATTTATACCAAATATTTAGTCATTTATCCATTTATTTCATGATAATTTATTGACCAGACCAAATTTTTTAGAAGCATTTTTTACCAAATGTTTAGTCAATTTATCCATACATTCATTTCATGATAATTAAATGATCTGACCAGATGCTGATCGGACATATTTACCTCAAGCTTATAAAACTCTTAATTTTCTGTATATGTTCAAGCACACACACTTTTTAAAACTTTTTATCTATCAGCTGAAATGATTTTTTATATCCAATTATAGATGATGAAATCAATATTGACCTATAAATCGACTGTACGATGACCTGACCGTTCATATTTGAATGTATTTTCAGATATTTATAAGGTGCTTTAAATAAAATTTGTCTTTTGTTTAATTTTCCATTTATAATTAAATTCTTAGTAAGTAATATCAAGTTTTTAATTATAACTTGACCTGACCAGTGTAGATACCTAACCAATCTGACATGAATATATAAAGACCTGACCAATGTAATAAACTAAAGACCTGACCAAAATGGGAAGTATACATGTATATAATTACAACTATATAGATTGTTATGAATTCTGATTTAAACTAAGAGAGTTGTTCAGAAAGTTCGCGGAATTTAACATAGCATTTGTTTAACTTAATGTATTTATGTCTTTGAACAATGTTAGTTTATATGTATATATGGTCGGTCAGGTCTTTAGTAGATATGATCAGTCAGGTCTTTAATAGATATGATCAGTCAGGTCTTTAGAAGATATGGTCAGTCAGGTCTAAAGTATAGATATGATGGTCAGTCAGGTTTTTAGTATAGATATGTCAGTCTGGTCTCTGCAAATTGCTGTCAGGTCATCTATATTTTATTTTATGCTTAAAAATATAAGATAAGATTTTTTAATTTACCGGTAAGTGGATACAATACTTTAAATTATAATTGGTGAAAAGTTGCTTATGTAAATTCGGCTTAGTTTCATCAGGTCAATGCAAATTGCATATTTAATATATAGGTTCATAAGTTTGTGTTTATCTGTCAGAAATGTTTAATTACAAAGTATTATACCTTAATATTTATTAATTAACATTATATGTATTAAATATTTTTATACAATGATAACGATTACAAAAGATTTTCATTTGGTCAGGTCATTTCAAATTTGGTCAGGTCATTAAATTTTCATGAAATGAATGGATAAAGAATAAATATTTGGTATAAATGTTTCTAGAAACATTTTATTTAAACTATCAATCACTATCATAGAGAATATATGTTAACAAGAGGCCCATGGGCCACATCGCTCACCTGAGTAACTTTGGCCATGCTGTTCTTTACCAGATTTCCCCCCTTTTAATATACCTATTGTGGCCCCGCCCTAGCCCCGGGGGTCAAAATTCGAACAATTTAGAATCAACACTACCCCAGGATGCTTCCAAATATGTTTCAGCTTTATTGGTCCAGTGGTTCTTGAAAGAAGATTTTTAAAGATTTTTCTTATGTATTTCAATGTAAAAATTGGATTCCCTATTATGGCCCCGCCCTACCCCCGGGGGTCATGATTTAAACAATTTATAATCTACACTACCCAAGGTTGCTTCCATATAAGTTTCAGCTTTTCTGGCCCTGTGGTTCTTGAGAAGAAGATTTGTAAAGATTTTTCTTATATATTTTAATGTAAAACTTGGATTCCCTATTATGGCCCCGCCCTACCCCCGGGGGTCATGATTTAAACAATTTATAATCTACACTACCCAAGGTTGCTTCCATATAAGTTTCAGCTTTTCTGGCCCTGTGGTTCTTGAGAAGATTTGTAAAGATTTTTCTTATATATTTTAATGTAAAACTTGGATTCCCTACTGTGGCCCTGCCCTACCCCAGGGGGTCATGATTTGAACAGTTTATAATCTACACTACCCCAGGATGCTTCCATATAAGTTTCAGCTTTTCTGGCCCTGTGGTTCTTGAGAAGAAGATTTGTAAAGATTTTTCTTATATATTTCAATGTAAAACTTGGATTCCCTACTGTGGCCCTGCCCTACCCCAGGGGGTCATGATTTGAACAGTTTATAATCTACACTACCCCAGGATGCTTCCATATAAGTTTCAGCTTTTCTGGCCCAGTGGTTCTTGAGTAGAAGATTTGTTAAGATTTTTCCTATATATTTCAATGTAAAACTTGGATTCCCTATTGTGGCCCCGCCCTACCCCCGGGGGTCATGATTTGAACAATTTATAATCTACACTACCCCAGGATGCTTCCATATAAGTTTCAGCTTTTCTGGCCCTGTGGTTCTTGAGAAGAAGATTTGTAAAGATTTTTCTTATGTATTTCAATGTAAAACTTGGATTCCCTATTGTGGCCCCGCCCTACCCCCGGGGGTCATTATTTGAACAATTTATAATCTACACTACCCCAGGATGCTTCCATGTAAGTTTCAGCTTTTCTGGTCCTTTGGTTCTTAAGAAGAAGATTTTTAAAGATTTTTCTTATGTATTTCAATGTAAAACTTGGATTCCCTATTGTGGCCCCGCCCTACCCCCGGGAGTCATGATTTGAACAATTTATAATCTACACTACCCCAGGATGCTTCCATATAAGTTTCAGCTTTTCTGGTCCTTTGGTTCTTAAGAAGAAGATTTTTAAAGATTTTTCTAATGTATTTCAATGTAAAAATTGGATTCCCTATTGTGGCCCCGCCCTACCCCCGGGGGTCATGATTTTAACAATTTAGAATTTACACTATCCCAGGATGCTTTCACGTAAGTTTCAGCTTTTCTGGCCCAGTGGTTCTTGAGAAGAAGATTTTTTAATGACCCCACCCTATTTTTGTCTTTTCTTGATTATCTCCCCTTGTAAGGGGACTTGGCCCTTTATTTTAACAATTTACACTCCCCTTTACCCAAGGATACTTTGTACCAAGTTTGGTTAAAATTGGCCCAGTGGTTCTTGAGAAGAAGTTGAAAATGTGAAAAGTTTACAGACGGACGGACAGACGGACAGACGGACGGACGACGGACAACGGGTGATCAGAAAAGCTCACTTGAGCTTTCAGCTCAGGTGAGCTAAAAATGTATCAAATATTTTTAAAAAGATAACAATTATGAATGATTATCATTTGGTCAGGTCCTTTCGAATTTGGTCAGGTCATTAAATTTTTATGAAATGAATGGATAAAGACGAAATATTTGGTATAAATGTTTCTAAAAACATTTTATCTAAACTATCAATCACTATAATAGAGAATATATGTTAAAAATGTATCAAATATCTTTAAAAAGATAACAGTTATAAATGATTATCATTTGGTCAGGTCATTTCAGATATGGTCAGGTCATTAAATTTTCATGAAATGATTTGATAAATGACAACAAATTTGGTAAAAATGATTGAATAAACCTTTATTCAATTGAATTGCACCTTATGATTAAGAAATTATCATGAAAAATTGATATAAAAACCCAGAATATTGATTTTTGGAGATTTTTTTGTTGGTCAGGTCAGTCAGGTCTTTAGTAGGACAGGTCTTTAGTACCGTATATTCCCTTAGACGATCCGTCATTTTCGTGTGGAATATAACCCAACACCTCATACAGCTGTTGGAAGACCTCAAATGTGGTAGAAAATATCGTTCTTCGTGATTTTTGGTCAAGAGTTTGACAACACGTTCTACAGTAGCCTAGTTTCCTGTCCCTGTTTTGCTTCGTGTACTCCGCGTCACTAGGGCCAGGTGGACTACAATGGATTCAGGGCGAATCTGCCCTGAATCTGAGCCCATTGTGACGTTGTATTTAGCTGCGCTTCCGGTGTAGAAATTCATTGTGACGTCGTATTTTTCTACGCCGTCGATGTAATGTATCATTGTGACGTTTATATTTATTTCCGTGGTTAACGGCAACGGCTCAAAAATCCAACGATTTACTGCGATTGTTATGACCAATCAGGGGACAGCATAGATTATAATCCACCTGGCTCTCCTGCCTTGGCAAGGATGAGCCAGGGGACCAGGCTAGTTCTACAGATGGCCGCATCCATTATTATCAATGAGCCATGACGTTTGATTGGCTTAAATTGATGGGCCTAAAATGCGGAATTCGTCCTAATGCGGTCTTTGAATAATATCTGAAAAACATATCAAAACAAAAGAAAAAAACTTTCAAATTAATTATTCCATTTTTTTTTTTTTATCATAAATTACGGTAAAACTTTCAATCGCAGTAAATAATGAACTACTTTTACATAAAGCACGAACAAATTTTAATTCAGTCGAAAATCGTCAATTAGTAAACTTCTTGCGTATGCTGGGGCCTTGCAGCCAATCAGATTCGTTTGCGCGAGTTCTCATTTTTAATATATTCGATCAGTGCATATTATCTATTCAAGCTATATTACTAAAGTCAGGTGATATATTACTAAAGTCAGGTACTCTTCACACAATTGCTCCGAAGAAAATAGTTCCATTCATGATCAGCAGATACAACATTACACCAAATGTTAAGAATAATGAGGTATATTTAATACCTTAAAGTAAACAAAATTAACGTAAAAAGATTTTAAGAAAATCACTTTTTCCCCAGAAAAGCAAATAAAAAGTTTTCATATTCCTACGCTCGCTGCCTCCTCAGTCTTTTTCACGAAAATATATTCGATTGATAATGATAACTCTTTTCACCAATTATATTACTGTCATGATTATTGTTCGTTAATTGCCGCGTATATTTCTTTTGAGTGAGAATGTTAATCATTAACTGTGTTTTTTTTTCTCTCTCTCTTTTTTTTAAATAACGGAATGGTTATTTTGGTTAAACAGCTGCAATCGTAACTTCTCTGCACAGCAACGTGATATTCCGAACTCGTCGGAAATGATCTTCGCACGTGTGTAGACCTAGGCTATTTGGTCTTGCAAGCACAGGTGTGTGCACCGTTCGCTAGTGACGCTAAGATCATATACATGTAGATTTTCTACAGACATGAAGAAGTTTAGAACTATACACCAGTTTCATAACAAGTGCAATTTTTTTTACTCAAGCCCTAGACTGGGCTAGAGGGGCTGAGTTGTCTATGTAAAACGATGCGAGGTCATCGATCTACTCACTTTAAAAACACGAAATATACTAATTTTATAAATAAAAACATTTCTAGAAACAAAAATGAAGTTTATCTTCAAAACATCTGCATATTCAAAATCTTATGTCGGATTCTATTCTATGACGAAGGAATATTCAGTGATGCTCCACAGCCGCAACCGACCTCGCGCTTTCCTTTGCGTTTAACAAAGGCCGTCTCTGGACGAGTTCACTGTCTGATTACTCTATAAGGTGACAGGTTGTCCCATCTTTAACATCTGCCTTTACTTTGATCGAGTGATTGTACTTTAATAGCACAAAATTAAAAAATAAATTTATACTTGATAGATCTATAGTTTTGCTATTTAAAAAATTGGGCTGATCTTTAATAATCCATAACGGCTTGGACTTGTTTACAGAAGATTCTATAATTGGAAATTTAGATGGTACACATGTAGCACAGGCCCATAGTCCGCGGGATTTTTTCGGAGCCCCCCCCACCCCCACCCCTCCTTCACTTTGAAAACGTTGCTACAGGCCTGTAACATGCTGTTTAGATTAAATATTCCTGAAAATGAGTGAGGTGTTAATTAAATAAGTTTTTTAAATTATACTATTAATTATATTTAGTCTATGTTCTATGTGAAATTAAAACTATTTTTTAGGCATGTGCAACTTTGTGATAAAGTCACTACATGCATGTAACGTTATATGTACATGCAGTTTGTTTCCTAGTACATGCATATTTTTATTCAACAAAAGATGTTGAAACTCAGTAGCCTAAATATTATGTCACTTTAGGATATTTATGGCACTTTTATAGTTGACTTTCTACAGCTTGAGTATCAATTTGTCAGTAAATACTTGTTTTTTATTAGAAACCATCTGAGCACAATGAAAATTCGAATAAATTAAAAGTCGAATATCTTGGATATGGGGTAACCCATATCTATTCTTGTTTCAGCTAACTCTGCCAAGGGTTGTAGGGTAGATTTCGGATCGGAAACCCTTGGCTAGCGAAGATGGGCACACCCTGAAAAGGCATATTATATTTTGAGAAAGCACTCGGTGTAAATCGATCAAGGTACAAGTTAAGTAGACGCCGTTTTTAAATCGGTACCTGGATGTTTCGTGTCCATGAATGATTCGCACTGGTATGTTTTACTCCCCATTGGTTTTTGCACTAATTGTTGGCAGTAATATTATACATGGTATACTATGCTGGGTGATATGGGAAATGACATGAAATTTTTTTTTCAATTCGTCGCCACGAAATGTCTTTTGGTCTACATTATATTCGTAGCCAAAACTTGGCAGAAATTTAAAAAAAAATCTTAAAACTTATACCATGTCCTATTCTAGCCAACGTTTTACGTAACTTGTGTTACAAATTTCCTTTTCCTTTATTAATCCCTGAGTTGGGGGGGGGGGGGGGGGGGGGGAGGCACAACCCACAGAAATCCCATGACAAGTAATAAAAAAAGGTCTCAGGCGCCATTATTAAGGGAGCACTACAGTAACTGTATATTATATGTTGGCAATTTATTGGGGACACCACAACCACCACCACCAATGTTGTTTTTTTTTTGGGGGGGGGGGGGGGTTAATCTAAGATTATCCATTAAAACGATTTAAATAAGACCAGAAAAAAAATTTCACAAATACAGGTACCCTTCATTGGGTAAAAAGAAGCACTAAAAGACACTACTAGATATTTTACCCTAGCAAAAATTACGTTATTTACGAAAGCCCATTGAGCTCATTTTCGTAGGTAAAAAAATTTTTTTTTCGCGTTATAACGCGAAACTTTCGCAAATAAACGAGAAACTTTCGCGTTATAACACGAAATTATACATATATAGTCATGTTACACAGGAACCTGTGATCTTGACTGACAGATAAAAAACATGAACGCAGAGGGGGACTTCTATGAATTTATAAATGACATTTCTTCAGAAGATATAAAACAGAATTGATGCGAGAAATATATAGATATATAGTGTAGTGTTCTCTTGTACCAACGACACAGGTTCAATTCAATGTCTTTATTAACATGGACACATTCTGGCATTGTATAACAAAGTCCTTGTCTCTGACATAGTATGACAAAGTCCCTGTTTCTGACATAGTATGATAAAGTCCCTGTCTCTGACATAGATTGACTACAAATGAAATGTAAATATAATAAATACTTGTACTCAATACAGAATGTACATATAATGTAACCTTTTATCAATATAAATCATGACACAAAAAGTGCTTCTTATATGAAACTTTGTAAACAGTGGTAATATGACAAATTCCTACTCAAATTCAATGTAACAAGTAAATGCATATAGCAGACAGTATGTAATAAATAATTAATATATAATTACCGTGATGTATGTCTGGTACTTTCAGCTAGAACACAACAAACTACTGCACTCATTGATCTAAATATGGCGCTCGTGCATTTCTCAACATTTGATAAACGTATCATTCTGATAAAATTGGAATGCACAGAAATCGAAACTTACGGACAAAATTGGAATTCAGAATAAAATATACAGATTGTCCATTACACCGGCCCCTAAATGTGTTTTTACAAAAACATATTTATCAAAAATGGACAAAACAATGTATCCAAAATGAGTTAATTCACTAAACGTTTCATTGCACAAAGGTTCACTGATTTGTTTTCTCTTTTTCACAATCTGTTTCCAAAAGAAGACAAAGTTTTGTCACTGGCCGCGTAATAATGGAAGACACTGTCTTTATCCTTGCAACACGCACAACATCATAGTTGTCCTTTATCACTTCGAGCACTCTACCAAGATTCCATGCGTTTCTTGGAGTGTTTTCCACAATGAGAACTAAATCACCCTCTTGTAAGTTTCTTTCCTGCTTCAGCCACTTCTGTCTCTGTTGGAGAAGGGGTACATATTCTCTGATCCAACGTGTCCAGAAAACATCAGCCAAATACTGAATCTGCTTCCATCGACGTTTTGCGTAGTTGTCAGATGTATGGAAAATTCCAGGGGGAAAGCTCTCTCCTGATCTCATGAGTAGTATATGATTTGGTGTAAGTGCACAAAGGTCATTCGGATCATCTGAAGCTTCTGTAAGGGGTCGTCCATTCATAATAGCTTCAATTTCACAAAACAAGGTTAACAGTCCCTCATCATCCAAATGAATTGTTTGTTCATGTAGAACAGAATACATGATTTTCCTGACTATCCTGATGAGGCGTTCCCATACTCCTCCAAAGTGAGACGCAGCCGGTGGATTAAAGCTCCATTCAATTCCTGACTGTAATAATTGACTGGAAATGCTGTTCGTATTCCAGGAATGAAGTGCTGTTCTTAGCTCACGTTCAGCACCTACCAGATTCGTTCCATTATCAGACACTATATAAGTTGGTTTTCCTCGTCGTGCAATAAGCCTTCGAATGGCGTCAATACAGGAGTCTGTATTCAAGGAAAAGGCAACCTCTAAATGTACTGCTCGGGAAGATAGACAAGTAAATATGACACCGTACCGTTTTACTATGCTTCTTCCTCTTTTAAGCTCAAATGGACCAAAATAATCCATTCCCACTCGAGTAAAAGGGGGGTCATCAGGTTTCAGTCTCTCGCTGGGAAGGTCTGCCATTTTCTGTTTCAAAGTAGGTGCCTGATATCTTCTGCATATAACACATCTGGAAATGATGGACTTCAAAATTGATGACACACCAAGAATCCAATATTTCTCACGAATAAGTGCCAGCGTTGAATTTTTTCCCAAGTGTCCGACAGATTTATGTGCTTCCTCTGCTATTAACCTGGCTAATACAGACTCTTTGGGAATAATAATTTGATGTTTACTGTTAAGAGTTGTATCCAGTTTCTTAAGTCTACCGCCTACACGTAGAACTCCATTGTGAACAATTGGGTCTAACTTGGCTAATCTTGATAACCTTTTAACAACTCCATTTTCACTTGAATTCAAGTCTTTAAATTCTTGGGCAAAATGCTTCATCTGCACATACTTCAAAATGTCTGTTTCTGCTCTGTCAAGAATGTCTACATTTAATGAAGGTCTTTGTGTATCATTTTTCAATCTGTTATGCTTTTCCTTCATTTCTAATTCTTGTATTTTCTCTTCTGTCAATCCCTCCGATATCATTCTTGATCTCCATTCTCTTTTCCTCTTCATTATTCCTTTGAGGTTTTCTCGCGCTAAGAGTAGCCATCCAGTCACTGTTTTCAGCTTTTTCCAGGAAGAGAAGTGCTGGAGTAATCTCTCCATTCCTTCTACTGTTTCTGTTTCAACTGCTGTGTTGACGCTGTCCTTTATTTCAGCACTGTTAATTTCTGATGAGTCGCTAATGATTTCAGTAGACGGCCATGAAACATCTGCTTTCCATAACCACTCAGGACCACTGAACCATGCTGCTGAGTCAAGAAATCTACTTACTACTGGTATTCCCCTTGACGCAGAGTCTGCTGGATTATCTTTAGAGTTGACATAGTGCCACTGGTTGACTGTAGTTGCTGCATGAATTATGGCAAGCCTATTGGCAACAAATGTTTGAAAACGAGTTTTTGTGTTATTTATGTAACGAAGAACTGACATGCTATCTGTCCAGAAGTAAACTTGATCAACTTGATATTCCAATTGTTTTGTAACTATCTTGCATAATTTCACTGCTAAAGTTGATGCCGTCAACTCAAGCCTCGGTATTGTCACTGTTTTTAACGGTGCCACTCTTGACTTTCCAAGAACAAAGGAACAGTGGATTTGTCCAGTCTCACTGATGAGTCGTAGATATATAACAACTCCTATTCCAACTTCACTTGCATCTGCAAAACAGTGCAACTCCTGACATGTCGTCCTCCCGAAGTCTTGTGGCTTGTAGCATCTTTCAAGTGTTACATTTTCAAGTTCTTTTGCTTGTGTCAGCCAATTTTTCCAGTCCTTAAGCTGACTTCCTTTAATCTCTTCATCCCATCCAATTGAATTTTTGCACATTTTTTGAAGAAGTGTCTTTGCTGTCATCACAAAAGGTGACACGATACCAAGAGGATCAAATATTGAGCTCACTATTGATAAAATTCCTCTTCTGGTTGTTGGCTGATTTTTAATGTTTATCAGAAATCCTAAATGGTCACTGTTAACAAGCCAGTACACACCTAGTGCACGTTCTACAAGTGTTTCACTTTCACCTTCGAGGTTCCATTCCTGCACATCTTTAGCTCGATCATCTTCTGGAACAGATTCTAAGACTTGTTTTGAGTTACTAATCCATTTTGTCAGATGAAAACCACCTTTGCTACAAAGTGTAGACAGATCTTTAATGAGTAAGGCCGCTTTCTTCTCTGTGTCAACCGAAGCCAAACAGTCATCTACATACATATTCTTGAGTACTGTGGTCACCACTGTAGGATCAAAGTCGGAACCATATTCTTTAGCTGTCTGTTGTAGTGCATAGTTACAGCAAGTTGGAGAGGAAGTGGCTCCAAAGATGTGAACTTTCATTCTGTATTGTTCAGGGTTGGAATCCAGATTGCCATCCTTCCACCACAGAAATCTTAAACAGTCTCGATCTTGTTCAGGGATTAATACTTGGTGAAACATAGCCTCAATATCTCCTTGTATAGCAATTTTCTCCTGACGAAATCTTAAAAGTACACCAAGTAAACTATTTGTAAGATCGGGTCCTTGGAGTAACTGGCTGTTTAGTGAAATCCCCATATACACTGCAGAGCAGTCAAACACAACTCTAATCTTCCCTGGTTTTTTATCGTTGTAAACTCCATGGTGCGGTAGGTACCATACTCTGCCATCATCTCTTTGTAGCTGACTTTGAGGAACAGGTTCTGCATATCCCTTCTCAAACAGCTTATTCATAAAAGTCTCATAGTCATTTCTAACCTTTGGATCCTTTATCAGTTTCTTCTTTAGACTCCCAAGTCTCTGAAATCCTTGCATGATATTGTTGGGTAACTGAATTAAGGGATCCTTAAACGGAAGTCCAATTGAGTAATGACCATCCTGAATGTGAATAGATTCTGAAACTTGAGTTAAGAAGCTCTTATCTTCTAAAGAGTTTTCTTTTACATCATCCACAAGACGTTCTGGAAAGTCATAGTTTATGGAATCTTTCACCATCTTTTCTAAGTTTATGTCTCTTTCCTGAGCATCTTCTATAGCTACTCTGTTTATGTCAAATGTATCTGATGCATTTTCTCTTATGACATTCCATACTATCCATCCTAGTCGTGTCCTTGTTGCGTGGGGAGAACCACTTGGCCCAGCAATTACTTCCAATGGAGAGTAGGCATCTGGTATGTTATTTCCAATCATAATTCCAATTTCTGCATCTATTTCTGATGTTTGAATTATTGACAGATGTGGCCACTGTTTTAACTCTTGCTGCGTTGGAATGTGTTCTTTTGATACAGGCATATGTTCCTTTGTATACATATTCGGTAGATCAATCACATGTTCCATTGAAAGTCCACACACTTGCAAACCACTGATAACATATGTGTTCAACCTCTGAGAATTCCCCATTGTCTTTATGGTGATTTGTTTCTTCTTGCCATTTGCTCCAAGCCTATGCATTATGTTTTCTGTACAAAATGACACACTGCTGCCAGAGTCAAAGAATGCATAAGTTTCTATGCTATACGGTTTATTTTTCAGTTTTACTCTCACTGGAATTATTGCCATAGCACAGGTTGTTTCTCCGGCCCCTTTATCACTAAAGGCACTGATGTGAGGTTTGGAGAACTTGCATGTAGTTTTGATATCTGTTGACATAGGATTAATGTTTTCTTTGTCTTCATCTGTACGTTTTGCTACACATTTCGCAGGATCATGTAGGATCGTAGGGTGACGCCTACTGCATATGGAACACTTAAGTCTTGCTTTGCATTTTTTAGTTATGTGGCCTTTCCTAAGACATCCATAACACTGTCCATTATTTCGCAGGAAGTTGTATCTGTCTTGAAGTCCTTTGGTTACAAACTTCTTGCAGTCATTCAGTGCATGGGTACTACTTTCACAGAATTCACATTTCTGTTCTCGTACATTAAAGTCTTGTACTTCACTTGTAACATCAGTAGACGCAACAGCTCTCTTCTGGTTACGATCTTGATTTCTGGAATTTCCACCAATAGATGCATTACCATACGTAGGATCATTCGATTTCTTAGCTTCTGTTTTCACAAAACTTACAAAATCTTTAAACTTCACTGTCTTCTTGGCTTCTTTAGTTTTCAGTACAACATTTCTCCACCTATCATGCATATACACAGGAAGTTTTGTCATAAGTCTCTTTATGTTGTCTGAATAATCTAAGACAGAAACACTATCGATGCTTTCAGCTGCGTTCTGACACTCCACAAGGAACAAGGAGAACTCATCTAGCATCTTTGCATCCTTCACTGCTGGCCAGTCTAATGCCTTCTTTATGAATGCTGTTGCAATTACCTCACTGTCTCCGTACCGCTCTTCAAGCTGATTCATAGCTGCTTTGTAGGCTCTGTCTCCTGACATATGACTAAATCCAGACACTACTCTGTATGCTTCCCCAAAAGTCATTTGCTCAAGATAATTCATTCGTTCATCATTGTCTTTAGTATTCATCACTACTTTGGTATTAAACTGTCTGACGAAACGTCTAAATTCTAATGGATTGCCTCCAAATTTTTTTATCTCTGGTACAGGTTTCCGGAGGTATTGTACAACACACTGCATAGCATCAGATTCAGAGGTCTGTGGTTTTGTTTCATCTAGGCAATGAAGGTCAAGTGGTGGAATTTCTTCACGCTTGGGTATGAATGTCTCTGCGTTCGGATTCAGAGGCCTCTCAAACAAGGACGGTACTGATGCAAACTCACTATGAAACAAAGGCGTTCTTGGCGTTGGTTTTGGTGCTAATGTTCTAGGATTCACTATATCAATGTTAGAAACATCATCATGCAAATCAGCATCACTACACCTTTCATATTTCTGAAGGACTTCTGTTTTAGCATTCGCAATAGCAATATTTGTATTCAAGTCCAACTCTTCTTCTTCAAGTTTTAGTTTGACTTTCGCTATCTCTAACTCCTTCTTATGGGAAAGTGCTGCTTTGCGAGCTTCTAACTCAGCTACTCTTTGTTCTTCTTCAAGGCGTTTGGATGATATACTTGTAGCTATAGATGTGCGAGACTTGGACTTCAAGCTTCTGACAGTTTCTTTTGTTGCTTCTACTTGTGATTCCTCCTTTACACTCTGGTGATAGGAAAAGAACTCCTCTATTTCTTTCTTAAAGTTCATGAGAAACACATCGTAATCATAATGAGTCTTAAGCAATTCTTCTCTCTCCTCCTTGTCAGTTATTTGAGAGACAAGTTCATCAAATATAACAAGAAAACGCTCATAATCCTCAAGCCATGCAGCATACTTTCTTCTAACTGTTTCTGGAGATTCATTATCAGAAATAATCTGTCTTATCACACCACTTGTTATCTTCAGTGTTCTAAATGTTTTATTGTATTGTTCTTGTTTATATACCTTTCCTTTGTCTGTTAATTTTCTGTTTCGTGTTCCCGATCCTGTTTCTTCTGTAACGGGCATTATGCTCATAACCTGGATCGCTCATGGAATCACGTCAATGTTGTAGTGTTCTCTTGTACCAACGACACAGGTTCAATTCAATGTCTTTATTAACATGGACACATTCTGGCATTGTATAACAAAGTCCTTGTCTCTGACATAGTATGACAAAGTCCCTGTTTCTGACATAGTATGATAAAGTCCCTGTCTCTGACATAGATTGACTACAAATGAAATGTAAATATAATAAATACTTGTACTCAATACAGAATGTACATATAATGTAACCTTTTATCAATATAAATCATGACACAAAAAGTGCTTCTTATATGAAACTTTGTAAACAGTGGTAATATGACAAATTCCTACTCAAATTCAATGTAACAAGTAAATGCATATAGCAGACAGTATGTAATAAATAATTAATATATAATTACCGTGATGTATGTCTGGTACTTTCAGCTAGAACACAACAAACTACTGCACTCATTGATCTAAATATGGCGCTCGTGCATTTCTCAACATTTGATAAACGTATCATTCTGATAAAATTGGAATGCACAGAAATCGAAACTTACGGACAAAATTGGAATTCAGAATAAAATATACAGATTGTCCATTACATATAGAGATATATTATAGAGATATATTAGTGTTGATTTTGCATTTAATCTGAAAACCTTACTAATTAATTAAATGAATATTCCTTTAGAGATTTTCTTGTTTTTCACTTGTTGAATCCAAGAAATTCTGTAGACTAATTTTTTTCTCAGGAAGATCTCCACTCATTGCTTTCTTGGAATAAATTGTCAATGTTTTCGTAAGTAATGGTATATGACCAAGTGGTGCAACCTTAAAATACAATGTTGTATTTCTACAGTGAGTCTATCGGAGATGAAATATTTGATACAAATATTTGTCATCCAATTTTCACATTAGGTTACTCATGTGATGTGACACAATTGTTCCGTGAAATATACAGTCAAACCTGTGTTAAGCAGTCACCTTCGGGAATCATTAAAAGTGACCTTTATAGAGAGGTGACCTTTGAAGAGAGGTTCATCTTTTTCAAGAGAATTCTTTTCCAATTTATGTTAGTTCTGTGTTTTACAATACTTCATACATCATAGAATATTAAAGAAGGATGTGTATTGGAAATCAATGGTCTAAGTTTTTTCTCTAAAATAAATTTTAAATAGTCTCAAGATTTATTTTAAGCTAAATTTAATGACAAAAAGTATTTGAGTTTAATAAGGCATTGCATTATCCTCCATCCAAATAACAAAACTTTTTTTATTATAAGAAATTATCATGTTATGCCATGAATTAAATATAATGTATTCTTATCTAAACTGCATCTTAAAAAACACGTTTAGTTACGTAAAATTAACAACTGTATGTTTAAAAATACATAAATCATTGCGTAATCAACAGACAAGTCATGTACTCTCAGTTGATCAAAGCAGTGCACAAAACAGATTGATATCAAATTCACAGGTGTTACGAGCAATGAAGCGTGACTAATCCGAACGATTGTCTTACCTAGGTGAAAATCACGAGATAATCAGGACACATTGCGTATACAAAACAGTTTTAGGATTTCTACAAATAATACGTTAAACTGCCTCGCCATGCGTTTACACAATAACACCTATCGGGGTTGGGCATGCCAAATGTGAACTAATAATTGGGAAACACCTAAATATTGTATCCATTAATAGATAAATAAGTATGCGTTTTTTTTTTAAGGACATTGGCAAGGTTCCTGGTTATTGTATAGAATTTTTCAAGAACTTTTGAGTAGGTTTAAATGTACAAAACAGGCTATATTCTGGATTGTTTTACCTACCAATCCAACATTCTTTTTTAGATTTTGTCAAATTAGTGTTTTTACAATTCTTAATGAATTTCCTATGTAAAATGTTGATAAAAGGGACCTACATAATTTTTTACCATAATATTTCTTCAAAACCCATTTATTTCGTACAGTTTTTGTATTATATACATTATTGTATCTTCATTTCCTATGACTTCTAGATATTTTGACTGAAATGTATATATAGAAACAAGACAGTGATATACCGGCATCGATCATCATTTTTGAGTTGCGTCCCTTAACAGCTAAAATTGGTCTCGAGACTGGTTGATTGTTTTTATCATGTTTGTATCTGTCTTAGTTCATATCATTTTAAACTATACTTTATTTATGCATTAAAAGAGAATAGGATTCAGCAGTTGAGTTACATGTCACTGACATTGTCAGATTAACAGCTGATGGATTTGGTTATTATTTCCCTCGACCTCTTTATCAGTGTTTATATACAGGCAACAATATTTTTTCCGAAAGATTTACATGTAAGTATTAACACCTACAGAAAAAGCGTTTCTAATAATTTATGGTCTTAGACTTAAGCATTACCTAGAATTTTCTAAGTCGTTGAAGGAGACGGGAACGTCGGTACCTGCCGGTTCTGGAACAGTTGCATGTATGTTGTCATCATGTCCAGTCTCATCCTCGGTACATCGATTGACATCATAATTATGGTCTAAATTAATCCTACTCACTGACCAGCGATTCGTTAGCAGCTGAGAATTTTTCCTGTACTGGGATATTTTCTTTGAGAAACCTTGTTTCTTCCAGCGTGTCATGATGCATCGGTGATGTTAAATGACAGACGATTGTTTACATTTTACCGCGCTGATATATGGCATATATACGGCATATGTCGTAAACAGCATATTTCCGATAAATTATAAATATTAGAATAAGAAAGACACAAATATTAGTTGTATATGTAATGTGTAACTCTGACATAAATACAAAATACAAATAATAATAAAATAAATACAATATAAAATACAAAACTAATCATTCACACAACTTTTTAAATTTACGACATTTATAACTACGGCGACCCGTTGTTGTTAAAATATCGTGAGAAAACAAGTACCTTAAGTTTAACTCACTTCGCTTTTCCATATAAGGTATGTTTTATGAAAATTCACATAAATTTCTACATAGAAATAAAAACTAAAATCATTCAAATATGTTCATAGGATTTATTCAAGCATGCGCATTAAAGATATTAAGATATCAAAATATAGGCAATATCATCTATAAGCAGTAGCAGTTGGCAGTAAGTAGTGAGCAGTTGGCAGTAAGCAGTTGGCTGTCGTATATGGAATTCCAAAGCACAGTGATTCGTTGTAAATAATATAGATGCCGATCCATCACTTCAATTAACTCGGTCAGTTTTATCCAAAATGATATACACATGTGTGTCCAAAATAGATCCGTAGAAATTATTGGGGGGGGGGGGGCATGCAATTGTGTTAGAAAAAATAGAGTTAGAAAATTGGTAAAACAAAACAGACACATTAGCAGAGTTTCGGAATGACTGAAACATACATGACTGGGGTGGAGAGTAGAGGTTCCCTACCCTCGGGGAGAACATATTAGAATTTAATTTTAAAGCTCCTGGTCATCTCCTGGCGGATCTATGGGATATGTGTGATTCCTATACCCCTGGAATTTTCAGAGTTATTTTAAAAATATCTATGTTAAAGTAGTGAGAAAAATTACCTTAGACCCCCTAAGAAACACAGACCTCTCCAAAAAAGAAAGACCCCTTTCAAAATGGTAAGGAAAGTCATCTAACAGAACAGAATTGACTAAGGGAAAGTGTCGACTCCTTCCTCCATCCCTCCATCATTACCACTACGAAATAGGGTTTTCAGGTTAAGGCAATTTGTTTAGATTTCATTTTGTTTGTTTGTTTGTTTGTTTTTGTAACAGAAGAAGTTAAACCCCCTCCCCCATTATTATCTATATACTTAAAGCATTCAGTCTTTGCTCATGTCTGTCTGAGGACATAAATTATTTTACGGGGACACTTTGCAAGTGAAAGTCATGTTAGAAAAATTGATAGAATGAATGTGTTTTGAAGAGTAAAAATAAATATATAATTTAAATCAGTATAAAAAAGAAAGGAGAAAAAACTTTTAACCATGAAATATCCCTAACAAAAAATATTATAGTTAACTTTAGTTTACTATAGTTAACTATAGTGATAACTTTGACACAATGAAAACTTTGATTTACTATAGTGATAACTTTGACACTTTGATTAACTATAGTGATAACTATGAAAACTTTGATTTACTATAGTGATCACTATGACACTATAGTGATCACTTTGAAAACTTTGATTTACTATAGTGATAACTTTGACACTTTGATTTACTATAGTTAACTATAGGTAACTATAGTAAACTATAGTTAACTATAGTTACTATAGATATAAATCCTATATACTTAAATGCATATTGCTACGTAAATAAGGGAAGTTGACGATAGAAAAGTTGAAGTTGTCACTTTTATCATAAAGTTTTGTTGTTAGGTTACCATTAACGTCTTTTTCTAGTAAAATATCCAAAAGTGAAACGGATGTGTCAGGCTGTGGTAACTTTTATTTCAAGTTCACTGGGATATATATATATATATATATATATATATATATATATATATATATATATATATATATATATATATATATATCGAGCCGATACATGTATAGAGAAATATCACGTGACAATTACGTAATATACATGTACATGTAGAAATATCTTTGAAAAGTCTTCTTCTCAAGAACAGGAACATCAAGATTGTTCATATCAATATAGATGCATCCTCAGTAGTGTACAAACCATGACCCTCGGGGTAGGGGGAACAATAGTAGATCAAACTTTGGTGTAGAAATATATGTTTTTTTTTTTTTTTTTTTTTTTTTTTTTTTTTGTTTTGTTTTGTTTTTTTTTAAAGTCTTTTAAAGCCATGATTAGTCAAAATATATATAAGTATCCACATACTGTATAGATTCCAGTTCGTAAAAACCTTGTTCCCCGCCTCCCCAATTGAGGAGATATATATTTAAACTTTTCAATACTGACCTGATTTCTGCATTTCTCTATAGCCAAAGTGTTCAGGTGAGTGATGTGGTCCATGGGCCTCTTGTTAAAGA